CCCCCCCCCCCACCCCCGCCTTTCGGACTACTCATCGTTTTGTCCCGTCGCGGATGGCGCATTGCTCTGATACTTGTTAGGCGATAGGCTTTTAACGACAGCTTTGTGCTTCTCTCTCTCTCTCTCTCTCTCTTTCACGACTTCTCGGTTGATTGGTATCAATTTGGGTATCCAGATGCCTATTATCACCGATGCAGATTAACTTCAATCTTGGTTACTCTTCCTTTTTCTAGTTCTAATGGTCATTTCTACTAATGTAGCTTAACTTTAATCTCTAGATTTTAATCTTGATCCAACCACCTTCTCTTCATCTTTTTCTAACTGTTCATTAAAATTAGAAAAAGACGAAGAATCAATTGAACCGAGATTAAAGAGTTTATATATTGATGAAAATCACGCTTTTGGATAAGTCTTGATCTAAAGTCATACAGTTCTCGGGTACAACGAGAATAAATAAATTTAGTATAATCGAGAGAATGTAATCTGATTTGCAAATTCTTCGGGAAGTGTAATCGAGATTTGTTGAAAGTAACAAGAATCACAGTAACCCTTCTGTCCCGAGAGGAGAGGCCCGGCCTTCTCAACACCTCATCTCTCCGCTAGCGTGCGTTGATGATCTTTGAAACTGGTTGGCTCATTAGTATGTGAAGGTTGGTGCCACCTACTGGGCGGGGCAGCGGGTCATTGAAACAATGGTGTTGTGACTAGACATCATCGACCTCATCGGGAAGCGCGCGCGGAGTAGCCGATTGATTTCAGCGATGATCGATAGATCTTTGTTACCTTCGCGCGACTGCTCGATCTTGAAAATGCTCGATTTTATATGACCATCAGCTGTTCTCAGATTCATAACTCGATTACGTAATTAAGAATTCATCGCTGAAAACAATTTTTGGTTGAAATTGGACGAATCAGAAATTTCTGATTAAATTTATTAGAATTCTAGATGAAGCAACCGGAATTTTTCGTTGATACGATATTTCTGATAAAATCTACTAGAATTCTTATTTTTACCAGAATAATTATATCAGAATTCTTAGTTATCTCAATTAGAACTCTAATAGAGTATACCAGAAAATTCTGATTCGTCCATTTTCCACCAGAATTACTATTTAATTCAACCAGACCATTTTTCTCATAAACATTGATGCACTAATGATTTTCTTTTTTGAACATTTCTCGTTAAACTTTAGCGAACATGCATGAAAAGAATGATTTTGCCAAAGTATCTAAAAATTTAGACTTTATTACTTTAGTCTCCTGATTGTTTTTTTTTTTTTAAATAAATTTAATAAATATCCTTGACATTCTCATTCCTATTATAGCTTCACTTTATAAGAATTACTTGTTTCTTTTTAGTCAGTAAATTGGGATGAATATAAGGAATTGTTTTGATGTTGGATAGTTGGTATTATGTTGATGTACTACTTGTACAGGATAGTATATATTAATTCCGTTGAAAATGAAGTAAGTCGAAACGCGTACGGACATTATACGGCCATCATATTCTGTTATATTAAAAATGAACTGTTAAACATATCCATTGTTATACTCACCGTACCAAGTACCGCGCTAACTTCTATTTCCCCTTACATTCTTGTCTTTAATTTGTTAAATATTACAAAGGAGTCCTATAACATTTATTATTATTCTCATTGTTGTCTAAGAATTTACTTAGATACAGATTGATCTGAATATAATTATGTTAGATTTAAAATAATTATCCAAATTATTATTTGGAATCTATAACACAATTATAACTATCAAAATAATTATATGTATGACGTTCGAGCTGATTGCTAGAATGTTACACCACTGCTCGTCATGTTTGAGTTTCCTACATAATTATTTCGATGGTTCAACACAATTACTTTTAGATCTGTATTTACTTAAATTTTTAGATATTTCTGCAAAATTATTCTTTTTTTTTTTTATGTACACACATACTGAGAGAAATTGTTGTGTAAATAACTGTTTATTTTGTTGATATGTGACTTACAAAAACCTTCACAAAATCAACGAAATAAATAGTTATTTACATCAAAATTTTTCAATGCAACATCCGCTGCAATTATTTCGAACACCAAAGTTCCTGATGGGGCTCCTTGTATGATTATGTTAAATTGCGATTACATTATTAACGAAATATTAAGTTTAACAGCACACACATTTTTTTATTCTCGATAACATAACAATAAGAAATAATTGTTCGTCATTTTCCAGCGATGCGCAAGCACAAATGCCGGAGCGGTATCATGGTCACGACCCACGTGACCGTTTTAAAGGATCGCCAGCAGCCACCATCAATCAAATCGACGGAGAACGGATTCTCTCGCTGCGCACGGGTTCATTAATTATCGCGCAATGCACGGAGAAGAAGGAGGAGGAGGAGGAGGAGGAGGAGGAGGAGGACGCGCTTTTTTTTTGTCGCCGTAAAACAACGGGGACCAAAGCGAGCGGGCACGCAGGAACGTCGCCGCGGTCGTGAGTGCAGGTAAGCTCGATGGCATTCTAACTGGACGCTCTCTCGTGGACCTAGCCCTCTCCTCTCTCTTCCTCCCGCCCTCTCTCGTCCTCCTCTCTCAAAAAAAGGGTAGAGAGTGCCAGTCATATATTAGAGAACTGTTGGGGACACCTAACAAGCTGGCAGAACACGTTTCCCAGAATCGGGGGTACCTGGCCCCGGGTACCTCTACGAGCAACCCTCTCTGAATCCGTCTCCGTCTCACTCCCACCTCCTCCTCCTCCACCTTTCTCGCGTCCTTTCACTGCCGCGTCTTTTTATCGTCCTCTTTGTCTCCGTTTTGTTATCCCTTTCTGATTGTGCGCTCTCTCTCTCTCTCTCTCTCTCTCTCTCTTTCTCTTTTTCTCAACTGTCCTCTCTCACCGCGTGGCAATAATCCACGGTGTATTTCACGTCCGAGAGGCGCGGATGGATATTGTTTCGCGTGCTGACGCCGGTCCGTATTTTTTCCCCTTTCCTATCATCGTGCGAGTTGAATTCTGCGGTTTTTAACACCCGCGAACGCGATCGTCGAAAAGTTCTCTCCAACAGTTCTCGCGTTGCATTATCGCCGACTTTTGCGTCGGTCATTGACCAACCTAGCGCACGTCGATCAACGAGTGCGCGACAAACTACAAACTTGTTCGGATGGGAATTATACACTGAAAAAATTGTGGTTATTTTGGATCCTGTGAACGATCACTAAGATCAAGATCCGATTTAATATCCAGTTAATTCATTGTGTGATACAATAACTGGATTTGTTAATATAATTACATATTCATGCATTCTTGCAATGAATTCTAGTAATAGTTTTATAATCTCATATATTATAAATCATTATGAGAATTCATTGGACCAATTTTCATTGATTCAATGAATATTTTATTGTATTTATGTACAGTTTTGGTTCAGTGCCGAAAGCATTGTTTCTTTATTATGTAAAAATATTCGAGTATTAGTTAAAGTTTTCTGCAATTGTGCAAAGTATTTTTGAAATGTTACCTCGTCAATTCTACTTTCTTTTGTATCTACATGAGAAAAATGTTCCGATTAAACCAAAAGAGCCAACTGGAATGGCGTAACTATTTTCTAGTTATTATAACTGGAGGTTCCATTTGGCCTCAAAATGCTATTCCGGTTGGACCTTTTTATTAGTTTAATCGGAATATTTTTCTTTGCGTTACAATCTAAATCAGAAGTAAGATGTAATTGCATCGCTACGTTCAGTCGAAATCAACGTGATCTCTCATGAGGCCCAGAAAGATTAAATCTCAAAGAGTGCGTTTCTTACATCGATACGCGACGATTACTCTTTACGAGCTGTTTGGCAATCTCGTTGTGAGATATAGAAACGAACGCGAAGCTATTCCCCAGCAGGCACGCCGGTGATTATTAATCCAATAGTTCTTCTTTATGTATCGCTGTAACTGCCGTAACCAGTTTCGCTGGTACTCTAGAATTACTATTAAGAAGAAATAACGCTCCGGGGCCGTTCACATCCCGTTCGACGAGCACTAAACGTTAAATAAAAGCGACACGCTGCTATTATTACAGTAGTATCTTCTGAGCTATAGATACGCGACGTGAAAAAAAGGATGAAAGTAAACAGAAAATTATTTTTGCGTCTGAATTGGTCCGACACGTTGGAATAAATGTAACGCTTTTCACGTACTCGATCGTCTAAATCAATAATCTTATGCACTTAAAGTTGACTCGCGTGGAACAGTCATTTACACCGATTGGTTTTCCAATAAACTGAAGGAGCAACGAATCGCCGAAGTGGAATTTGCTTGACTCGTATAAATTTCACACGTCACGATCACTAATGTTCCACTCGGCATTCTGCGCGATTTTCCGTATTGTCGAATTAGCGTCCGTGTGTTTCGCGACGTAGCGATTACTACCTGCGTTAGGCAAGCCAATAAATTAATTTAACGTACAGTCCCAGGCGAGGTAAGCTGCCGGGCAGATCGCTTCCTAAAATACCTGAACGAGTTTACCAGAAATAAAAACAAGTCTTAATTAAATGAAACGGTCGTGGTACCGTGCGCCGCAGCACCGCTCTTGGGTCCGGTCAGTTAGTTTTACCCTTGCCAGTTTGGGATTTCGAATTTAGTAGCTTCAAGTACATGAGAAAGAGAGAAAGAGAGAAAAAGGAAGACAAAATTCTTATGTATAGCGTATGTCCGTACGTAGAGAAATCTGTAAACTGTGTGCGAACGGAAGAAATTTCCAAACATGCACAAAAAGATATCTTTTTCTTTACGCATTCTTGTGAAAACTGAAATAGATTGGAACGAGAAAAAAATGAGGATACAATAAAACATTGATAGCGATGGTAATTCACGTTTAAAGATGACAATGAATTAATTATCTAGATATATATATATATATATAT